GCTAAACATATCAAAATTTCATGTGATTTGCTCCACTGGGAAAAAAGCTACGGCAAGTTAAAGTTGGCCGAATACTTTTGAGCGCTACTGCATATCTTAGCGACCATTTCTTTTTGACCCCTTGACGATGTTCATCTTCTCTTGCTCAGAACAAGATCTCATGCTCATAATGAGCCAAGTTGTTAGGTTGTTCTATGAAAGATGTTCCTTATTTGGAAAGGATTTCGCGATCTTTTTCCGGACTTTTTCCGACAAAATTCCTTCCGGACAATATCTATAATATACTAAAGGTATCTTCTTAAACAACAAACGGTATGTTTTGCTTTGATGGGAACTGTGTTTACAGGACCCAAAGATTTAATGGGCAATCTTGGTGAAACGTTAAAATAGGTCGCACCTAAATAAAATAGGTACATCACTGCTCGGTTTCCTGCATTGGAACTTAGACATTGAGTTAGTTGCCGGGTTGGCTAGCTTCGAGCTCCTATTTCGCAAGTACGAGATGCAACGTAAATCAAAACTATCTCCGAAACAGAATCAATTACATCGTTTCACAGAAGGAAATCTCCCGAATGGTACAGAACTTTATTTGGAATCGTGGAATACAGCAATGAGAGCTTTGAGTTCGAGAATACCAAATCACTTCAATGGCAAAATATTAAATGCAATACATGACAATTTGTGAGCTACTGCGCCATCGTTCGCTTAGACGGCTGACTGATTCAAATTACTCGAGTCTATGGCTGCAGCGTGGAGATCGATCTCAGAACACTCCGCCAAAACCTACTTCAACAACCTCTTATAATAGAGTCCAACGTTATCAAAATCTTTTTGAATTATCTTCTTGACTAATACACAATCGTATTTTAGTTGCGAAATCGGCAAAAGTGGATCGTGCATGGAGGATATTCAACCAATGCTCACTCCACAAGGACTTTGCTTCACAGTGTCGCCAAATATGACAGTCAGAAGGCCCGGTTAGCGAGCAGGCGCTGTGTGGGTGGGGCAGAATACGACGCTCGTGTCATGTCATAGATGGTACCAGGAGTATAGGAGTTTTGAGCTGATCGCATTTTTTGGATAAGAAACGCGCTGGGCAAAAATTTTGTCGTTTTCAATTATGAAATCCTATAAGCTCAGAGTACTAAGACCACACTTTGGTGACGCTCAGAGTCGATGAGTCCAACACGCATTCCAAATTGACACTATCATTGGGAAATCCTGAGCGCTCAAAGCAGTTTGGGAAATTCATTCAGCAATTTTGTAGATACTGTATGCAAGGAAAGCCTCCCCGACTTCATCGATGTCGAATTGCTCCGTTTGAGGATCCTTGGGAGGTTGGGTAGCTGTTTCTGATAAGTATGCCCATCCTCATGAGCAGATATAGAGCTGATTTTTCGCATAATATGTAAAGTCTTAGGAAACGAAAAAACGCTACTCTAACCACATCGGGTGCCGTTTGCTGCACTGCCCGACTTACATAGCCCTGTGGATGTTTCTTATATTTTTGAGTAGTTATGTCAAGTTACATTTTCATCATTATTCATATTTTGACGTGTCTTTCGCAAAAATGAAAACATGACTTCCTAAGCTTAATATGGCTACACTTCAATTCCACCATTTCCACATTTAATCCTCAGAGCTTTCATAGAACATTCTTTACACCTTTCACTCCAGGTCCTGAGACAACACTTTCCTTGCTGCTAAACTTGGAGGTATACGAGATTATTCCCGGGACAGTCATCGATGCCGGGGTAATCCTTTCAATTCACGACTCAAGCCACACGCCCTCTATACAGCAAACATCCGGAATACATTTGGAAGCTGGAAAAGTCGTCACTATCCCAATTAATGAAGTTAGGAAAGTAAGCGTTTACTTTTTTTAGAATGTGATGATGTCTGTGTTGCGCAGTTTGCTAGAATAGTAATAGAGAAACAAGTTTAGTTTTCTATTGTATTTCACTGTCACCGCACTGGAAAGCGCAAAGTCATCGGAAGTTACTAAATCATAGGTGCACGCCGGGGTTGTGGAACTTCTCTCCGTTTTCCCACGTTGGCCTTTATTTTTTGATTGATTCTGATTGTTTCTTTCTGTTTCTTTTTTTGTTTTTATATCTCATTAAATTTGATTGCTCAGAATGACTCCTTCTCTATGATCGACTATCAAAATCGCACTGGTATTAAGGGAAGAGCCAGAAAATGTGAATTATTGAAGGATTCCCCTGCTCGCAGATTGTGTGCTCCAATCTTCTATCTCATTTTTGCGATACGCGGCGGGTCTGGCAAACGCGACACAGTGTTCAGGGAGAAGATTCGGAACCCTGCGTCCCGTAGCCTCGTTGCTAATTATGCTGAGTAGTTCCATTTCAACGTCATAATCAAATGATAGTTTGGTCCGTGTTTCTACATTGCAGCTTTCGCGATACCACCAATACTGTGGTCGTCGTGATGTCGGTCCATTTTCTTCTATGCAGTACTCAAGAGCAGCATGTCAGTGGGTGGCAGCGACGCAGGAAGTTGAGAAAGTTTGCGGATGTCGCCCTGTGCACAGTCCTTACAACCAGGACTACTTCCGTCAGGAGAAAGCTGTAGGCGTATTCACTATATATCACCGTACCCAATTCTCGACCAATATCCATTTTTTGAGTGTTCGATCTAAAAGATATTTAGTTTTGAAAAAAAACTTGCAAGTACAGTTGCTTCCATGAAACCTTCACATCCTGTCTTTCAACTTAATAATGACCATCCATTGAAAATTCAAATTGGGTGAAGTCGGATGGCGAACGTCTTGTGAAGGTTATTCTGACATTGTTGATAAATGAGCTAGAATAAAGGCTGCCGCCGGGAGTGACATACAGTACTTATTTTTGTAAAGATGATAATTCGCCCTATATGTTCCATCCAGCCTGTACCAGTGAGCATGTAGGAAAGGTTTATGGCTTCTCCTGTTGTATTAATTTTTTTTTNTTTTTTTTTATTTTCCAGAAAAACGACATCATGAACCGTCTTAGATCAACAAAAGGTCTTGTACAATGCACATTCAGTCAGGAAATTGAATGTGTCGCCAAATATGTAGTTTTTCGTTTTCCTTGTTTTCTCCTTTCACGATGTCACCAATGTTCACTTGACTTAAGGCTCTGCTGGATCCTGTCAACTCATCTATCGTGTGTCCAGAAGACTGTGAAGAAGTTTCTTTTTCATCTGTAGTTTTCGGTGGCCGTCTGGTGAGGAATCTTCTTCTACCTCCTGCTGAATAAGGAAGGCATTATAGAAACCATAGTCTCCAGCGCCATCGAGATGTCCTTTTTACTCCAATGTACTAGCTGTTAGATCCGAAGTATAAGGCGAGTAAACATAAATATGACGGACATTTTCAGCAGACGTTTTCCCTCGAATTATGCTCAAGTCCCATAGCGGAACAGCCTGCTGAGTTTCCCTCTTATTTTCCAGTCTGAATGCAGGCCTGACCCTTCATTCCACTTTTCGGATTGAATGATTGATTTCTGCCCACGAATTTTTGAAGAGAAATTTTCCCAATCGCGATTGCGCGGCACCATGAATTCTACAGAGTTCGTACATCCTACATAGTTCCATACTGCTCCCTCAAAACCAATGAAAAGCATTCTCTTGAAAATCGGCTCTTCTATTGTTCCAGGTAGCGTCCGACCTGACGTCTGTGCTACCAGGCGACTGGGAAGACTTGAAAGAAGCAAAAGTGACCGAATTTCAGGTAGCTTGAAAGGCTGGTTTTAATGAGATTTTTAATGAGATATTTTAGTCGTTCAAATGACAAATAACTATATAATACAACACATCCGGAAGCGTTTCTAGAGAAATAAATTCAGAGAGCTATGAACGAGATTCCGAATCATCGCATTCCCGTGGTTAGAGAAGTGCAGTCACTGGCAAACATTGCACAAGAGTTCGCCCAATTGGCAATTCGTGTACGTCACAGCTTCTTTGCCATTTTCGGCTTTTTTATTTATATTAGCGAAAAAGAAATCTGTTTTGATTCCGTTGATCTGCCATGAGACTTGCAATTGTGCACAGCCGAAGGCAGTGGTTTGAGAATAAGCTCTAGTTACGTTGTTGTCAAGCTTTTTAACCTTTCAGCCAATCCTAATAGCTTTGAGCGGCAGTAAAAATGGGCATCGGTTGCCAATATCGCCTAGGTCTTTCTTAAACTGGACACTTTGCATTCCAACAGGTACCGTGTGAAGGGTCAATCCAGGGAATTGACGACTGGTGAAAGGCTCTTCGAGTGTCCCATCCTAACTCAGATGGAGCTCAAACAGGTAGGCGTGGCTATTGAATAGACCACGGTAGAAGTCGTACGTGACCCTCTTCAGAGGATGTAGTGGTCTTGTAATCGACCTAACTACGGCAGCCATTGTAGATGTGCTTAATAGTATGGCAAATCTGGTCATAACTGCTGCTATTCTCTCTACCAGATCTTACGTAGTCGTTTCTTTAAATAACTTCTCAAGCTTGGACCTGAAACAGTTGTTATCAATCCCTGTAACCAGTCGTCTACATCCCTCCACACCCCATACTACATAGCGAAATGCCAAGGCTTCATCCTCAACCGAAGGGAGTTACGGATCGTGAGGCTTTGGCCTTCAAAGGCTATTTATCAGCTTCTTTCATTTTTTATTGCTTCCTATCACCTAACATCAGTGCCATCCCTATGTCCCTATCAAACTTGAATGCTCTAGGTCCGGTGAGACAAAATTTATAATTTCCAGTCGGACAAACAAACAAACAAACAAACACAAAACACTAACAACCACACATAGCGGATTATACATCTAAGTAGGATAATAGGATAGACGCGGCGTTTAAAATGGTTTATTTTGTAATTATTTGTTTATCGATTTATCGATTTGAGTACTCTCTTGCTGGCACTGTCGTCAACTTCAATGCTGAAACTGCGAGAATCAACTATTTAGAAAGAGACGAACTTAAAATAAGGTCGCTTCTGTACTAAATTGCCGTCAAGAAAGTGACTCGTAATGATACGTGCAGGCTGCCTTTTAATAATAGCAATTATAGGTATTTACCTTGATGCCCAACTCCTCTACGGTGCCTTGCCTAGCACCAGGTGGGGTACGAGATTTGGAACGTGCGCTGATTCATCTCAAAGCGCAGGAGCCAATGTGGGAACGCATCACTACGTTGGTATTTTGCATCCATCATTCTAAAATCAAGTTAAATCACAATCAGCTTCACCCTGAGGTATCTTGCTCAAGTGCAGTAATGGAAGTTATGGTGCAGAATAGTGCAAAGGTGAAAATCAGCTTACTTCAAAAAACATAAGGCTTCGGGCTTTGGTTAATCTCGAAAACATTTTTTATCGTGATTTGTACTATCAAATACAAGCGATGAATACGCACCATTACACCGAACTGACTTTTGTCGACCTTCAACTGAAAAAAGTATTCATAAATAACTAAATAAATATTTACTAAATAAAAAAATAAAAAATATGTCTATAAGAGCGAAGCAGAGATGTGAGAAACTTAGAAAATTGGCCTGAATATGGGTATGTGACTTCAGCCAAATACTTCAGGTACTTCAGAAGATCACTTTTCCATGAGTTGAAGTCAACAGCGGCTACATTGGGAGTGGTCCTTAAGAATGATGGAACAATCAGTGGCCAAGTCGACTACGTTCACAATGAATCTATGGTGGCGTACCTGTTTACTTTTTCTGCTGGCTAGAAACACGGCTTAATCCTTTACCTATGAAACAGTAAATCGATGCGTCTTTCCTTTGGTCTGGGATTTATAAAAGTGCCTTTCTACCTGCCCGTCAAGCTTCTAATAATTATGGCACAGGTAGTGATAAGGAAAACATTCCGCACGCTGAGTTGGCAACATCTACCACTGGATTGGTTAGGCGTCTTGCGTTAATAATATGATAGAAATTCAATGGTGTTGTTTCCTGAAATGTTAGGACGCTTTTAGGTCGCATTCTCCCTTCTGCAACTGAGCGTGATGGAAACCCGCACTGAACATTCATTTGGTCTCAAAAACATGGATATGGAAACTAGAAAGAAGGTCCTAGATTTCGGTATGTATCAACTATATTTTCTACTTTTCTGTAGACTGATTGCATTAGAAAAGAGTAGGTTGTTATTGGCGTAGTTGGTCTAGTGAATGCGGCGAAGAATTTCGTCTTTGTAGTGCTGCCCTTTGTACGCGAAATGGAAACATGCCTGATGAAGATTCATGACAATGTGGACAGATCTCTTGAAATCGCTCTGGATTGTCGACAGGTTGCTTTTATGAATTTTTTTCTGTAAAAATAGTCTACCATACACAAGGTTCGGGATGAAATACGCATCTGAATGACGCTATTTTCTGCCTCGTCGTCGAGTACATGCGAGCATCCCGGAGCGGGAGTGCTAAGTGCTAAAATTGAAAAAAGTTCTGGAGGAATCAAAACTATGATAATCATATCTAAGTGCCGGAATGGGGCGATTTTGAAGGCCATCCTATTTTCTAGGAGTGGTTCGCTTCTTTCAGAGAGCTCTACTCTTCACCACGGATCGACTTTTTTTAAAATTAATCATATCTGTCGATCAACTGTAATGTTTATGTTAATTGGTAGGGAGCTTAAATTGATGAAGTCTTAGTCATTGAACCTTTGTCGTTCAGATATTCCTTGATCGCTATTCTGTCTTGGTTGATGCCCAGCACGTCTACACTTTTGGTCAGGCACTCTCGGATGTCGTAGCCGATTACATCTCTTATATGAATAAAGTAGTGGCGGCTTTGCGAAGATTTATCTCTGTTAATCGGGTTAAAATTCTCGACTGGCACAACTTCACTATTGAGCTGAAAACTTTTGAGACTCTATATAGGTAGGTATTCAGCCGCAGGGCCTTTTAATCATGATGGTCGTACCATACTTTGGACTGTCCTACAGTACATGCATGCTGAAGACGGACTTTAGTGCGCTCGGGTAGTACAGCGCAAAGATTAAAATGCGTGTTGCTAGGACTATCTAAAGTATGAAGAATATCCAAAATTCCATTGGGATTTTCATATTTGAAGAGATGGTGGAGTGGACAATGTTGAAATCCTCGAACTAATGAAATTACGGAAACTTATTGTCACCGATGCTCAAGAATACGTAAGATTTTTCCTTCTACAGAATGTTTTTCTTTTTTTCTCATTTTTTCAAAATTTCCAGTTCTATAGAAGTATGAGGGGCACATATTGCAGATCACTCCCCTCATTGCATTTTACGAAGATGGGCTTCGAGCACGGAGGAACGTTTTACGACGTCTAGGCATAAAATCAACGAAACCTTCAAGTCTGAGCGTTGTCGAGGGTACTATAAACTGCCTTTTGAAGATCTCCGCCGAGATTCCTCTTCTGAAGGTACTTTTCAATCGTTTTTCTTCTTACTTCCATTAGTGGTTCCGCGCAGTCGAAAATCGCGGTGTTCCATTTAGTAGCCGCTTCTGCATCTGGACAACTAAACATTAGGAAGATCTGTGACGCCTACAAAGATGCATTAGACCCACCGTTCTCGGAAGTCAAGTATTGCGACTCTGAACTGTATCGATATAATATATTGGATTGTCCGAAAAGTTTCCGCCGTTTTTTGACACCCCGGATTTATCAACCGCTGTACAAAAGATCAAGAACCCAACTTAATAAAGTTATATGTTTTCTGAAAGAATAGGTCCTCCTTTAAATTCCTGTTGGGATTCTGTCAACATTCGTCGAAGTTTCTCTGTACAGGACTCGAATGAAAATGGAGAACCACTGCGCGCATTTT